ACTGTCAACAACGTTACCCAACACCCGCTCATATACCTGCACTATGGCTGAAGCTCCCCTGCCAATCCAGGAATCCACGTCACAGTGCAAGCAGGAAATCGCCAATGGCATTTACACCGCCATCACGTGTCAGGACAAGAACATCGTTCGACCTGCCATTGGAATCTACAAGTACGTGGAGGCCAGTCAGGATTCAACACTTCGCTTCATCTCGGAGTCCTCCGACACTTCAGCTATCAGTGCCATCCCTTCAGGAGAAATGCAAGTTGAAAGCCTCCTGTACAACCACCAAACAATGAAGGACCACAACTGGCACCTGAGCTGGATGAGCTCATGAAGGGGATCTGTGACAAGACCAAGGACACAGTTGAGGCTGAAGCTGCTGCTTTGGTTGCCAAGGCTCTCCATCTGTTACGTCGTGTTCCAGAGACAGTTGTGGTGGAGACTGCACAGAAAGTGAGACAAGGACATTACTGCAGTGACTCTGCCAGGCTGGAGAGTATCTTCTTGGACGCAGTTGCTTTCCTGCATGAGTCTGGTGCAGTAAAGGTCATGGTCCAAGAAATCGAGAATGGACGAGCAACAGGGGACGTCTCGCTCTGTACACGGCAGCGCTCTACCTCATCCCACGACCCAGCATTGAGGCAGTCAAGGCTCTCACGCCACTCTTTGAAAGCCCTCGCCCAGTGCCCTCGGTGCTGCTGGCAGCTGCTTCCATGATAAACCACTACTGCCTTCATACTCCAGCTTGCCACCAGAAAGCTCCAGTGCGAGAATTGCAGAGATTCTGGCCACCAGAGTCCAGAGTCACTGCTCTCCTTCTGCTGGTGCTGAGGGCGAGGAAGTACCCCTTGCATTCTTCAAGGCAATAGGGAATATGGGTGTAGCTACACCTGCCGTGACAAGGGCAGCCGTCCAATGCATTGAGAAGAAGGACTGGAAACCAGCATTCGGGTAGCTGCAGCACAAGCCTTCAGACAAGCCAATTGCTTCCGTCCAGTAAGTAGTATATGAGATAACGGTAGGGAATATTTTGTCCATTGTTTTTTATCTAATATACGATGATCGAATAACATAGTGTGAATGTGTATGTTATACTTTAATAATTTCAGGCAGTTGAAAAGCTAGTAGACATTGCCGTCCGACCAGCCTTTGACACCGAAGTCCGCATCGCTTCCTATCTGGCAGCTGTCCGATGTGCTGAACAGGAACACCTGGAGAAAATTATTGAGAAGATTTCAAAGGAAGAGAATACCCAAGGTATGTAAATATTCATATCTTAACCTCTCCTATAAATCGTCCACAAAAACTAATATTAATGTCACCATACTACCAGAACAATCTGTTAGTGGCAAATTATTCTTTATTATTCTTAGATCTATAGAGTATTTTACAAATGTTTTCTTTGACCACCATATTAATTACTAAAACCAAAGATGTTGCTAATAACCTAAGCTATCACTTGATAATTGTTATGACAATAGTACATTCATATTATCATTCTCCAGATGTTGGTGAATGCTCATATGATATTGCTTCATTTCAGTGCGTGGATTTGTTTTGGGTCACCTGATCAACATCCAAGAGGGTAGCTGCCCCAACAAAGAAAACCTCAGGTACCTCCTTGCCAACGTTGTCATCCCTACCGACTTCGAGAAGGACTTCAGGAAATTCTCTCGACATATAGATATGGCTTACTATGCCCCTGCCTTGGCATGGGTGCCGGCCTCGAGTCGAACATCATCTATGCTCCCGGATCTTTCATTCCTCGTGCTGTTAACCTGAACATGAGAGCAACTGTGGATGAGACGCCCATGGACATAGCAGAGATTGGTGCGCGCTTTGAAGGAGTCGATTCCATCATTGAAGAGCTCTTGGGCCCACAGGGATACCTACGCAAAGCAACATTTGGAAAGATTATGGAGGACATTACGGGTTTTGCAGGAGAGAAAGGCCTCAAGATCATGGAGCACTTCAAGCACAATGAGGACCAGGCGATCCATCGATGCTTCTGTCATCTCCGACTTCTTCGGCAAGCTGTATGGTGAGAGCAGTTCGCACACCACGCCGATATATTCGCCCGGTTCATGGGACACGAGATTACTTTCGCAGATGTTGCCCAAAGCCTCAAGGGTGTCACAGCTGACACACTCATTGAGACTTTCTTCTCTTTCTTCGAGAATTCCTTGGAACATATGAAGGATCTTAACCTGAACACAGCAAGAACTGCTCAGCTTTCCATGGATTACTCACTGCCCACCATTCAGGGCACACCACTCAAGCTGAACTTAGCTGCAACTGCTGTTGCTGGCCTCAAGATGGAGGGCAACGTCAACATTGGCCAGATCCTCTCTGACCTGGGCAATTCCCACACCGGCATCAAGGTGTTCCCAGGCCTTTCTGTACAAGCCACTGGTTTTGTTGGCTTTGAGTGCCGCTTTACCAAGGTGGGAATCGAGATGCAGAACACCATCTCTAGTGCCACTGGAGCCGCCATCAAATCAGAACAACTGAAAACAAGAAGATCGAGCTGGAATTGGAGATCCCTGACAAGATGGAACTCCTCAACATCAAGGCCGAGACTTACCTTGTCAAAGCTAGGGGAAAGAAGATGACTAAGATTTCTCCTTCCTCCATGAGAGATGTCAGGATTGAGCGCAAGTCCTGCATTGCTGCTTTGGAACCAGTATTTGGCCTCAAGGTGTGCTATGACATGAACTTCCCTGATGTGTTCCGTGCTAATGCCCTGCCACTTGGTGAACCAGCCATCGCCAAGCTGTACGTTGAGAAGGCAGATCCTTCCATGAGAGGTTACTTAGTGACTGCTGCCATCAAGAACAAGAGAGGTAACAAGCTCATTAAGATGAATGTAGAAGCAGCTGGTGCCTCAACACCAAGAAGAGCAGAAATGACCCTGTCCTACACCAAGGAAGAAGGAAGCCACATTGTTTCTGCCAAGCTTGATTCCTCCAGCATTGCTGCAGGAGTGTGGACTACTCTCACCAACGAGCAAGGACACAAGGCAGTAGAGACTTATGTCAACTTCAAATATGGTCAGACTGCTATTTCTCGAGGCATCAAGCTGGAAGCGATTGCAAGGGAAGGAAGCGTGGGAGAGGAATTCCAAGTGAACGTTTTCAGCAGCGGCACCAGGAGCTTCCCCTCTAAATCTCAAATTGTAGGCTAAATTCATCAAGAAAACTAGCGGACCCGTAGTTAATGTGGATGTGATTTGCAGGACCAGAAATGGTCTGGCTGAATACTTCAACCTCAATATGGAAGGTAAGAATTTGAGTGAATGTCTTTTAAAAACTAGCGGTTTAGTTTTCTACATCTTGAAATATAATCCTGGATGGCATACAGCTTTCATTTCATTGTTGAAGTTTTGATCAATTGGAAATCTTTTACAGTGGGAGCTGACCTCATGGAGTTCTCCTCAGAGGACACATACAGGACCAGGTACATTCCCAAGTTCCGCATTCTTTTCCCTGTAACTTTGCGGAAGGTGGAAGTGCATGCCGAAACTGGAGCTTGGAGACTGCATCATACATCCGCGAAGGCAGCCAGTCTGGACAAATCAGCGAGCACATTTCTGCACTCAGGCTAACAAAGGGAAGCAAAGATATCATCTCTGTTGAAGCCACTCACACGATTGAGGGAGCTTTCCCGGAAAACATCATCATCAAAAATGAAGCAACAGGTAACTCCATAACTTCATTTTTGTAATTTTTTTCTCACTTTTAGATTTGAAAGAAAATCCATCGAATACCGTAGCTCGTGTAACTGATAGTGCTTCTGCTTTTTGCTTTGCAGTTGATATTGGCAGATCATCATACAAAGCCATCTATGATGTAATCTACCAGGCTGAAAAGGTCGGGGCTTCTATGGAAGTCGTCCGCACGGGAGACAATGAGAAAATTGTTAAACTGGACGCAATCTATCATCATTCAGGAGCAGAATACAGCACTAATTTCTTGGTAGGGATACATCCTGTACATGAAAAACGTTTTCTAAATATACAGAACAGCTTAGGCATTACATCATAGGAAGTGCTTCAGGCTCTCTGTATTTCTTTAATTTCAGCTGAAGGTTCCCACTTACATGAAACCTCTCAAGATTCAGGCCAAGATTGGAGAAGAAGCAGAGGGTCGCTACATGCTGGAAACAGCCATCAAATATGGTCAGCGTATGATACTTGAAGCTAATGGGCCAATCATGGCACGTCTTTCCTCCAAGATTGCAAAGATGCAGGCCAACATCAAACTCAGTGCATTGGCAAGTGAACCCTACATCATTGGTGCCAATGTTGTGTTTGGCAACAAGAAACAGGTGATAGCCATGGAAATCAAGGAGCGAGAAGAGCCACTCTTTGGTGTAGAATGGAAGATGGTTCAAGAGAGTTCTGAGAAGACCACTGTTGGCATAGCATTCGTTCTCCCTGCCCTTATTGAGAACAAGGTCGATGCCATTATTACTGAGGAACTTATCCATGTTAATTTTAACAACTTGGTTCTGCCTAATACTTCATCCCGCCGTCGGGTCAAGGGATTCACTGATGTCAACATTGCAGAGAAAAGGGCAAATGTGGAATTTTCTTGGGATGCCGATAATGCTCCCGAAAAGAAGTTGGTGTTGGATGCAAGTCTGATCAGCAGTCCTGCCAACCCTGGACATGCTGAGATCCAGTAAGTCGCCACATTCATAATTTCAGTTGCCATTTTTTAGTATAAATCCTCAGTTTCATCTTTGATTCTGTAGCAGTTGTATAAAACTACATAATACACAAACATAAAATCAACAAATGATTCAAAGACACATGCATATCCGTTTTTCCTTTTTCTGATTACATATTTCTTCACAGCGGGAATGTCGTCATTGCCGGAGAGCCTTACCACGCCAAATTGATTCTGACTGCCACAGATCTCATAGAGCACATGGAAGGGGAAAATGGATTCAAGTTGATCCTGACAACTCCTAGCCAGAAGACGGTTGTCGTGGGAGCCTCCTGTGATGTCCAGCTGGCAGGAGCCACCACTAAAGTCATTTCCACCGTTGAATACAAGAACGTGAGGGATAGGAAATACAAATATACAAGTGTGATTGCCTTGGAGAGGCTTGGTGGTCCACTTAATTATGCCGTAGAAGCCAAGGTAACTTACAAACAACCTGGAACAGCAGAAATAAAGGTAGAAACAACAGCAAAACATCATTGGACACCAGAAGAACATGTTGTAGCATTCAAGGTAAGTAACAGTAGATATATCGCTCCTTGCATCACTGAATATTTTTCATGAAATGGCAAAATTCATGTAAATGAGACGTATTATCATATTCAATAGGGAAAAATATGAATAGCTATATTTCCATTTACAGGTGGCTGCTGAAGCTCCAGTACTGAAGACGCCTGCCATGATTGCATTCTCCATTCACAATGCACCAAACGCTTTTGTTGGAGTCTGCAAGATCGAAAGAACTGCTCCTTTCACTGCCTTTGAATGGAATGTGCAGGTTACTCCTGAAGGAGGAATTGAAGCTGTTGAAGCTGGTGTGGACATGAAAGCCATCATTGAAGTTCTGAAGATTGTTCGTGCCATTGCTACTCTGGAGGAAGAGAGTTATGAAACTTATGGCCCACACACAGCTCAGTACCAGTACCGCTTCACAAGGCCATCACCCACTTCTTACACCATGCAGATGAGGACTCCAACCCGCACCATGGAAGGAAGAGCTAAACTATCACCAAGGGAATCTGGAATCAAGTTCTACCCCAATAAGGGCAAAACTGAATCCAAATACGAAATTGGATACAAGGTCAACCACGAGGGAAGGTGGGCACAACGTGCGTCCAAGTTGGAAGTCAGAATGAACCATCCAGTGCTTCCTAAACCCATCATGGCCGCTGCTCAGTACACAGTAGCTGAAGGAACAATGAGGGGAACAATTGAACTGGACATTTTCCCAGAAGAAGCCGACAAAATTACTGGAACTGTGGAAACTCAGAGAATTTCAGAAAATGCTATCAGGGCAGAAGCCTTCTTGACTGGCAGGGTAAGTAGAACACCATCTGAATTGATGTTAGAGTCCTTTTATATGAATTAGGGTTAAAACTATGGTACTATAAAACTATGATACTATCGCATTATAGTAAAGAATAGCTTTATGAATATATCCAACAAGTGTTTTTTGTCTTACAGATGTTGAAAGTGAACCCTAAAGCTATCATCACTGCTGCCTATGCACCAGAAACAGTTGCTTTGGATGTAGTGTTCCACAAGACTCCATCTGCAGCACCAATCTTCGCCATTGCTGCCAAGTATGACAAGACTGCAGCTCACAGTGCAGCTGCCACATTGACAGTAAAGATGGAAGAGCGACCTGTCTTTGAGATGAGTGCAGTGACCGAACCCGAGGAACCAGCCACCTGCAATGGCATCAGAATGAATGCTGTTGCTTATGCAGCAGCTTTTGGAAAGTACAACGTGTTCTCCAAGATGTGCAGGCCCGCCTTCATTGAGGTGACCGCAATGCGACCTGGTGGAGCAAAGGAGACACTGCCAAGCTTGGCCTCCGATACCCTGACGCTGCTGAAGCAGGCGTATATGTGGCGAGTGCTGGAGAGAGTCGCGGTGTTGCTGTTGCTGCTGTGAAGCTGGCTTCACCCACAATGCTACAGTTCGAGGTGGCTCATGAACCAGAAGAAGCACACATTGTAATGGTAAGTCTCAAAACGATGCTATCATCGGAAATGGTATTTTCCACGTTTCCATATGCTGAACGATTACCGATTCCTAACCTCATATGTGATCCTTTATTTCCAGAGTGAAGTGACAAGTACCCTCAGAAAAGTCGCCATGTCTCTCGAAACAGTTGCAATGGAGGCCGTCCAGTTCCTCAAGGAAGAAGCTGCTGCAAAGGGTGTCGAGTTCCGTCTCACTTTGTCAGTCTAGTGGATGAGGCGAATGAGGAAATCAAAGCCATTTACCGAGATATCGTCTCAGAGATGAGAATCCTTGACACTGAGTTGATTGCTGATATCTTGGAAAGCCCTACGGTGTCCTTCGTGTCGCGTGTCTACCTTGGAGTATGGTCACAGATTGCTCGCCTTCAACATCACTTTTCAACCAGGGCGGTTGAAATGATCCAGCAATGGCAGGAACAACTAACAGACGTTTCTGAAATCTTTATCGAAGGTAAGTCATTGTCATTTTGTTATCAGAATTGAGTCCCAAAATTCTACGGTCAATATGAAATGGTTTAATGTCACAATATAAATACAAAAATTATATTTTCTCAGCTGTTATGGAGATAGTGCAACTCTTGGAAGCCGGAGAAGTACCTGAAACAGTTCGTGTAATTCTGGAAAAAATTGAGAACACTGAGGTGTTCAGGATTGTAAAGAGAGAAGTGAACGCAGTGTTGGCAGAGTATCCTGAGGAGTATGAGGCCGTCAAGCACATCCTCACCAGGGTGACGGCCACTCTCAAGCACGATGCTGATATT